AAGCAGTCAAAAGATGGGGAGATATCCCATTAATCTTGCAGAATATTAGGTTTATAAATTCTGCACGTTTCCATGCCAACGGGATTATCCATCTCATCTTCTTATCTTGTTTCAAAAAGATTCAATATCTGAATCTTTACTTATATCTCTATTTTTTCTGAGAACATGGAGCTTTAAAATAGAGATATAATATAGATGAAGGCACACAGTAAATTTTCCATTATGAATATCTGAAGAGAGAGATGTAGATTTCTCCTCAGAACTAAGAAAGAACTAAAAAACTGAACTAAGAAAGTAATTCATAAACTAAAAGGAAATGTGGGTTAGTGACCACGGAGAATTATAATCAACCACCACTCCCTCTATCAAGCATAAGCCTGTAATGGCTGAATCTGTAAAAGTTGAAACTTGCAAAAATGTAATGTGCAAAGTTTTTTTAAAAATTATATTTAATTGTTTCATTTCCTCCCATTTTTAACATTTATTCTCTTCAAGTAGCTTGAGGTAGTTCATTTAAGATTTAGGCTGGAATCAGGGACAGAGAGAGTAGAAATACTTATATTCTGCCTTTTTTCTTAGGACATCAAGATAGATTAAATGAAAAATAATGGCATATTTTAAAAAACTTAAATGACTAAAACCGTGTTTTTATTATCAAACCGCTATGCCACCCGTCTCCCCAAAGCGACTTTCCAATATAACCATTAAATATTGAAATACTAAAATGTTAAAACAGTAACAGAGCTTATTAAAATAGTTTAAAAAACGAATAACCCAGAGACATATTTTCAAAAGCAAGTCAAAATCTCAAACTAAATGTCTTTTTAAAGAGAAATGTTTTGTCCAAATTTAATTGAGTAACAGTGAAGTAGGAACATTTTTAATTCCAATTAACTCTGGGGCAATGGGATATATAAGTATACCCAGTGGTGGGATTCTACCGGTTAGGACCAATTCTGGAGAACCGTTTGCTCCAACTTTCAGCCATGAGCGAACCGGTTCTCTCTTTCTTTGAAATGGGCCCACCCGCCCATCCCTGTGTTATACTTACATATATTTCTGTTTCTGAAGCCCAGCTGATTTGGGCGGCAGAGTGGATTGCCGCTCCTCAACTGTTTTCCTTTCTCTCAGCTATGTGAAAGTTCAATTTTTGATAAAGTGTGCCCGCACGCACAGTGAACCAGTTGTTAAACTGGTAGGATCCCACCACTGAGTGTACCTATGAAGATTATTTTACTTGCAGGCTCATTGATTAAGAATTGATTGATTGACTGATTATTTAGCTATATTCTACTGTAAGTAGTTCTGAACTTCAAAATTCATATTCATAAAATCCAATTGTTAGAAAAGATCCTGTTTAATATCTTAAGGAAAAGCTTTATTATTAAGAATCAGTCGAGGATATTTGATCCTGGACAGACCAGAGACAATGATTGTTGTGACTTACAGTAGAACAGAAGCCATTGTGGACTTTCTGTGAGTGAAATACAATAAATAGACTGTTAACAGAGGGTTTGGAAGTTTAATTTAGCTGTTGGTTTTACCTGTTAACTATGTTTTAATATAGTAGACAGATGTTAGGCTATGTGGGTTGGGTAAATAGTATTGTAAACATTTATAAAGTGTGTGCCTGCTTTGCAAGGGGGGGGGGGAGTTATTATCTTTGAAATACATTTATTAGTATTCAACCGAGGGGACAATTTATGGAGATGTCTGTTTTGATTTGTTTATGCACTTGAAGTCTTGTTTAGCTTTGTTTTGTTTTTGTATTTTTTTCTTTTTTTGGAGTTTGTTTTAATGTTTTGAATAAAATAAAATTTGAGTTTTTAAAAAGCAATATAATAGTCATGTTAAATCATACGTTGTTAAATCATGTGCCTGGTGGCGCAGCAGACTAAACTGCTGCTGTTAAAGTAGCACTTAGCTGCCAGCTGCCCGCAATTACTGCAAGTTCAGTTCTCACCAGACTCAAGGTTGACTCAGCCTTCCATCCTTTCGAGGTAGGTAAAATGAGGACCTGGTTTGTGGGGTCAATAAGCTGACTTTGTATAAAATAGAACACCGCTGGGGGGAGAGGGGGGGCTGAAAGCCCTACTAATAGGGGGTATATACAAAAGTATATACAAAAGTATGAAGGCTATTGCTTAATGCATTGTAAGCCGCCCTGAGTCTCCGGAGAAGGGTGGCATATAAATCGAATAAATAAATAAATAAATAAATAAATAAATACTTATAAATAGGAAGCAGAATAGCCATTTGAAGAACAGGACCAGAACTTCATTATTCTGTTACAGGCTGGACCACAATTGTTTCAATATCGTCTTCAAAGATTGTCCAGTGTAAACTATATTGTCATAATCCAATGTGATAAGGTATTTCTTACATTGCTAGACTTTTGAGGATCAGTTCCAATGAATATAGATGGGACTACATTGTTAGCAGGGCAAATAATTCTTAGCAAGCATTCAAGAATAATGCCAGGTTCCAGAATATATCCAAATTACAAGCTTACATTTTCAAGGCGAGTAATGTCCCATCGCGCACAACTTAAATGCCTACTATAGCCTTACTAAGGCTGCTTCTTTCTTGACTGATTAAATTTCAGTTTATTATGAGCCAATTAATTCAGCACCCAGGCAATGATTTAGACAACCTCCCTTGAATGGAATGGAAAGGAAAGACGTAGTTTAATGTTATTTCATATTTATATACACTACATCTTCAAACTTCAAATGATTTTCACTACACATAAATATTAAATATCATGAAAAAGAAATATAATTCTGAGGAACACTATCATCTAAACAACTAAATTAAGGTAACTTTTTCTGAACCACTTTCCAAATGCAATTATTCCAGAAAAATTAAGTCCCCATGCCCCTCAATTGCATCTCTGTAATTTTATTAAGAAGGACACCATGGTTAAGGGCCATTAACTAGATCCAGCAGAGTCAATAGCAACTTGCTTTCTTTATTGAATTCTTGGGTTAGTTCATTTATCGAGGTAGCCATAATCATTAAAGTTTCTAAACCAGGTCTAAAGCCAGACTGAAATATTTCCTTTAAGGGTAAAAACAAACCTAATTTATTTAGAGTGGAGAAGTCATCACACAAACTAATACCCAACTCAAATTAAAATATTATAGGTTACACAGAAATTCATCAGGATAAAAAAAAACTAAAAAGGGATATTTTTCTAAAAAATACTCTCATCATAGAATCCACCTCTTCTCAAATGAAGGAACTACCTCCTAGACAAAGGTCAAATGTATATGTAGTTGAGTTCTTTCTGCATGCTTGGGATTGTACATGTTTAGGCTGTATAAACTGAAACACCACCATAATATTTCTCTGTTTGTAACCTCTTTTTGAAAATAATACAATCACAAAACAACCTTACATTTTATTACATATCCTTAAGAAGGTTGAGAGCTATTTCAAATTAAAAACAAAAAAAGCACATGGAATTTCATATATTTCAACAATTATTGGCCTTTGAAATCAAACTGGTTTGGATGACTGGCTCAGACGAAAGAAATGCACAGCTACTAGAATGCTACAACATGCGTGAAAGTTTAGGAAGAGAAAAGGAAAAAAATGTTTCTTGAAGATATTGCAAATTTAGCATATTTGTACAGTATGCAAATTTTGCATCACGAAGCAAGTGCTTTAAGTAACAAAGGATATACAGTATATGATAAAACTGATTAATCCCTCTGCGGTTCCCCCATTGGAGCCTCAAGCTAATTGGCAGAGCTATCTCTTTAGGCCCTTATGAAAGATAAGAGGGTTGGGGCCAACCTCACATGGGGGGGGGCAAGATGTTCCAAAGAGTAGGCGCAACAGCAGAGAAGGCCCTCCTGGACCCCGCCAGCTGAAATAATTGGGCTGATGAGACCCACATGATGCCTCCCCTGCCGGCACAAGTGGAACGGGCCAATCTGAGAGGGGTGAGAGGGTTCCTCAAGTAACTTGGATCCAGGCCGTGAAGGGATTAAAGGTGATCACCAACACCATGAATTGCCCCTGGAAGCAGACTGGCAACCAATGCAGCTCATGGAGCAATGGTGTTACAAGGGCAATTCTTGAGGCCCCTAAAACTGCCCATGCAGCCATATTCTGCACCAGCTGTAGTTTCTGAATGCTCTTCAAGGGTAGCCCCATGTAGAGCGCATTACAACAGTCCAACCATGAGATGACCAGGGACTGAATGACTAAAACTACTTGTGGAAAAAAAACAGGATTATGACTGCTTGCCACCAAAACCCAATGCTGCAATGCAAAGGAAAGAAAATGGCAGAAGGAGGATGCAGCTTGACTAAAATCTGTCACACAGAGCCTTCCCTTGGGGAATGCCATCCAAACAGTTCTATCAGAAGGGACCTGTGAGTTTCAAGCCCTTTGGAGAAAATTGAAAATTTCAACAGCGGAAGGCTTTATTACAGTGAGGAGTATCTTATTTTATTTTTCTGACTTGTAGGATACTTATCCATCTGCTTCCTTGCCATGTAATTTAGCTGTCATGAGTACAGAGTTTTTGATTTTTGAGGAATAATATCTACCTAACTATGACTTTAGCTTCCAGTTATTGACTCCTGGTTCTGCATGAAATTGGATATGGGGGATGAGATAATAACCTTATTTTCACATTTTTTAACATGTTTTTAATCCTTTTATGGAAGGCTGAGCAGAATTATTACTGCTTTTTAACTTATTTGAAGCTCTGAGCTTCATCTTAGCCAGTGTAATGAACAAAGCTAAGAAGGGCCTTATGTGCCCGCAGCTCCATATCTGTGATTACCATATTTATGCTTAGCATGCCTGGCATAAATGTTAAAATCGATTCTCTCCTTTGAGCCAACATATGGATGAAATAGGATTGCAATCTGAGGACGGAAGGAAAGTATGGATCTATTACTGTGAAGTTAAATCCAGGTTTTCTTTGGTTTTCTGATTTAACGAGTAGAGATGAGAGAAAATAAACTAGTAGAAAATCTTACCTGTACACTAGTAAAAGTGGTATATTGATAAGCTTTAACTACCAGGTAATTTGCTTCTATATCTATTATTCCAAGGATCATGTACTTCCACCATCTTCGTTTTAAGATTGCCAATAAATTTTCTTCACCTGCATTGGAATGGGGCAGGGAGGGGGGAGAGAGAGAGAAGAGAGAAAGGTTTAAAACACAAGATTTCTTATAGACGTACATGCATATATACAAATTTACACAAGTATTGCCAGAAATGTATAGGCCATCCCTAAACAAAATCACCAACTAATTTTTATTTTATTTTTTGCCATTGATCTATTACGACTTGGTTTGTTGGAAACAAATGTATGATTCAAGGGCCATTTGATTATTTTTTCTTTCATTAACTAATATGACTAAATATATTCCAGTTAGCAGTGTAAAGCATTCATCCCAATTATATCCTGGCATTCTAAACTACTTTGAGATGTGGAAATTTTAAAAATCTGTCATTGTTAGGACGAAAAGGAGAAATAGTGGCGGCTACATCACGGGTTATGCATTTCATCCTGACAGAATTCTGTGGATAATTTGAGAATGGATACTGGATGAGCCACTCGGTTTTTCTACAGTCTTACACAGTTCCATTAAGTTTCATAGTTTAAATGAGAATGGCCATAAAAATGCTTTTTCTTTGCATAGTGATATACAGTGGATTCAAAATATATTTTTCTGAGAATAGAAAGGTTAATCCTAGGATTGGCTGCCCAGCAATAAATCCGGTGGTGGGTTCCTATTGGTTCACCCCAGTTTGGGCGAACCAGTAATGGAGGAGGCGGGAGGCTCTGCCCACCCGCCCGGACGCCATCACGGATGCTCTGCGCATGCACAGAAGCACCACGTGTGAGTGAAGTGAGTGTGCGCGCGCGTGCGCTCCCGGTTCCGAACTAGTAGCGAAGATAAGTAGAACCCACTACTGAATAAAGCAATCTATGTTCAGTACAGGTAGTCCTCGACTTATGACTGCAACGGAGCCCAACATTTCTGTTGTTAAATGAAACATTGTTAAGTGAATTTTGCCCCATTTTGCGACCTTTCTTGCCTCAGTTTTTAAATGAATTACTGCAGCTGATAAATTAGTAACCCGGTTATTAAGCCAATCTGGCTTCCCCATTGACTTTGTTTGCCAGAAGGTCGCAAAATGTGATCACATAACCTTGGGATATAGCAACGGCCATAAATATGAACCAGTTGCCAAACATTTTGATCACATGATCATGGGGATACTTGCAAAGGTGACAACTGTGAAAGACAGTCATATGCCACTTTTTTTTCAGTGCCGATGTAACTGTGAACAGTCACTAAACGAACTGTTGTAAGTTGAGGACTACCTTTGTAGCTTGTCTCTAGAACAAAGCTTTGCTGGCTGAGGAATTCTGGGAGTTCACAAGTCCACAAGTCTTAAAGTTGCCAAGGTTGGAGACCCCTGCTCTAGAATTCTGCTGTGAATTTTGCTCACCGAAAACTATTTGGCTGTCTTGTTAGCTTACATGATGGATAATTAAAGGATGCATTTTCATGAGGGAGCAGCTTCCCAAAAATAAAATAGCCTCTTAAAAGTAATGTAGTAATTTCAAAATATATCCTCAAGAGTTATTATGACAAGTACTCTAACACATAGTTGCTGAACATACACTTCTTGAAAGTGCAAATCTAATAGCACTGATTCTACAGTGTGTCATGACCTACAAGGGGTACCAGGATGCAGATATGAGTCCAGGATTTATTCGGTGTCCCCTCTCTATTAATTTATCTGAGGTCATTTACTTCTGCTGTATTTCCCAGCTATGAATGCCCAGAGGTCATGCTCTTGAACTCTACCCTGGGAGGATGCAACTAGCTAGGTGCTAGGCTCTGACTATCCCTATAATATATTTGTCTAAATAATCCTCCTGTTATTAAAATTTCTTTACGGTTAGGGTTAGGGTTACAGCTCAGGGCAAGTTCTCAGTGTCAAGTTTGTTCATGTACATACACAGAATATTCTGATCTCCAATAAAAACATGCCTGAGATTTGACCCAAAATATTTTACAGATTTAAAGTTATCTTCACTTTTTATAGAAGAAGAGACTTTTGAGGGCAGATTAACATGCAATTTTATTAACCTAATGAAAATGTAATATTAATTTGAATCAATCCAGGTTGACCTGAAGCTCTGTTTCCAGTGGACTGGATTCAAACTAACACTCAGTGAAATTCCAAAGCATTGGAAAAACAGATAAGATCAGTGGTGGGTTTCTACTGGTTCACTCTGGTTCAGGCAAACCGGTAGTGGCGGTGGCGGGAGGCTCTGCTCACCTGCCCAGACGTCATCACGGATGTTCTGCGCATGTGCAGAAGTGCCACGTGCGAGCAAAGTGCATGCACACGCTCACAGTTCTGAACTGGTAGCAAAGGTAAGTGGAACCCACTACTGGATGGGATGACATTTTTCTCTGTTTTTCCCTTCCTTAAGGAGCACATATGATCTGCCAAAGAGATGATCCCTTGATCTCCCAATACAGTGGCTACAGAGTTATGGGAGAAACAAAGAAAAACATTCTCCTATTTGTTTTTCAACAAATAATAAAGGAAGCTTCTTTATTACAAAAGAGAGAATATTGATTTGACTATATATTGTGTGAAAATTGGCAGCATATGCCAGCATGATTTATAGTGTACACAACGTTTAGTTTTAATTACTGCACGTGGTATAATTCCAACAGAATGCCCAAAATAGATTTAATTATTCTATACAGTAGTCCATAAGAAAAAGAGCACAGCTTTAGTCAGAACATATTAACCACAGGCTAATGGGGGACATTATTAAAAAACGTATTCCTCTGCAGGGCAAATAATGCATTTAGGATTGGTTACAAGCATGCAATTTTATGGAAAGTAGAAAGTTCCAAAAAATCAGATGACTTTGGAATAGGAAATACCATCCCCCAAAAGGAAGTGAGGTTCACATTTCTTGTTATATCAATTTCTAGTTCTTTTTTTTACTTTTGAAGTTCCAAATAATAAGATAGAGAAGACAAATAAAAGACATACATTTTCAGCACAACCACTATACTGACATTTCCTAAAGCAGAGTTCCCAACATTTCTGGCTTTGCAGGCCAGTGGCGGTTCTGCATGAGTAGCCAGCAAGGGCACAAATGCAGCTCTAGTTAGGTGAGCAATGTGCACACACAGACACGCAGCTCTATTTGTGTGAGCGGCCCGCACAAATGAGGATGCGCATGCACACATGCATGTTCGCCGGCCGTTTCCATGGCCTGGATGCAAAAACTGTGGCCCACAGTTTGAGGACCCCTGTCCTAAAGGAAAAGGCACATTAACAATTATGTTAAAAATACAATTCAAGGAAGGAAAAGTCCACTAATATTTACAGACAAATAGGGAATACTTTGGGAATTTATACTACCTTAAATGATCTTTGTCAAAGCTCTGAATTCCATTATTGGTTGGGTCCAAAGCCAAAAGTGACTAGGCTATGGGTGTGATGCTTATTTTTGGTTAGCAAGTCATAAGGAGGGACATTTGCACCCAGACATTCTCCATCTATAAGTTGGATAAGGTTTGCCTCCTTAGCTCTATTGGAAGGTAAGATATATATTTTTTTATCAGCAAACTACAGTGGAGCTACTGATGGAATGCAGACTTTGAAAGATTGATTCTAGAAGGTCTTCATTTGGCCATAAGAAAAAAAAGTTCTTCTTGTGTGTGTTCATATTTGTCTTGCCTCTTGAGAGATCAGATTGACATTGGCTTTCTCCAGTCTTATCAGTTGTGAACACTGATAGAGGCTATGACAGTCATCTATGGTTTCACCTTTTTTCATTTGAATTACTGCAATTAAATACAGCAATTCAAACATTTTCACTAGTCCAGAAGTAGCCAAACATTTGGGAATAACTTGCCCAGTAAGAACTGTTTGGGGAACAGGGTGCTATTTAAGTGGAGGTAGAGAGAGTATGATTAATTCAAGTTTGGTGTCCTGGTTTGTTTATTGTTTAAGTCCTGATTAATGTTTACTGTTATTATAGTCTTATTATTGGAATGTAAGCTGCCCAGAGTCTTTGAAGTAGGTGGGATCCAGATGTATGTAAATAAAACTTGGCTTATAATGGATGTAACTTTGGGAATTTATATGTGATAGGATTACAAACATAATTTCTTTACTTTAGAAATCCCCTAATTAAAAAGAGAATTTAGAATGATTGTGAATTGTCATTTCAAAATAGATTGACCTCGAAGTGTGGACTGACTAGTAGTGTGCTACTAAATTATTAAAGGGTGGGGGGGGGGGACTTTCCAGCCATAGATAGTGAAGAGAAGGCTGAGATCTTGTTGGTGCTGAAAAAAAGACAACCTGTTTATCTTGCTTTCTCTTTCCTGTGGTTCCTCTGGAATTAAGTTTGTCAAGAGAGACAAGACTGATTAATGCTATCATGTAGCAATGCTGAAGCCTGACCTCTCTTGGTCTTTCTCAATCACCCTCCCACTCAGCATTCCTTATGCAGCTGAGATGCACCCTTTACAGCAGCTGTCGTAGTTCCTTCAAGTCGGTAGATGCCAGCAAGCTGCCATAAATGCATCGTTCATTGGTCCTCCCGCTGCATGGTTTTGCCACCATCCATGTTCACATCATTTGTCAAACATTTAAAAAAAACAACACAACCAAAGAGCTCTAATACTTTCCCCTCTCAATTTATCAACAGGTTCTTGGATATGCTTCACAGTTGGACTGAAATTTCCCACCGTGTACCAATTTTACAGCCAGTAAAAGGAGGCAGTTCGGGTAAAGAGACAGGATTTTTTCCCCCCTGCTGGAGTGCATGTCTGTTGTAGGGTTTTTTTTTTTGTTTTTTTTTTTAAAGCAGAGGTATTATTCTGGAATTGGGGAAGTCAGTTCTCCTTCCTTAAAAATTAAAAGTCATCATACAGGCTAAAATTATGACATTAATAACAGAATAAGAAAATGCATTGGTTATGAAACAGATCAAAGTCTCAGGACACAGCAGAGGGAAATTTTTCTCTCTGGGATGGAGTTTGAAGAAAAGCAGAATGTTCTAAAATTGTAAACTGCCTTTATCTCTGTGGGGGCAGCCAT